AAAACAGGGTCACAGAACATATTAGCCCCACACTGGTCTCAGGAAGAAGATGAAGACCCACAGAGATGGGACTCTGTGTTTTCTCTTCGGATCTCTGGAGAAGAACTCTAGAATACCATAGACTACTGTAGAATACCTATGACATGACTCACTTTTCATGATCTTTTGACTGTTGAATTTAATGTCTGTCCCTTGCCTTATATTCAGCTTTAAAAATATGTATAATCAAGGAGAATGATGGTATAAAGGGAAAAAATAATAGCATGAGAGAGAACATGAGACAGGGAAGAGGATGAGAAGCAAAACAGGGATGGTAAATCAAGAGTTAACAGAGAAGAGAACGTGGGCATTTGTTTGATATTCACTGAAATCATGTATTAATCGCTAATAGTAACACCATGCTTTTGGGAAGGAAATCATGTGATGACCCATACTTCTGCTGTTCACCATACATTGCTCCAAGTTCAAGCCTATCTGTTCTTTCCAGTCTCAATCAGGCGAATGTTCTCTACCAAGGGGTACTTCATAAGCTAAAGTAGATCCAGACAGCAAAGATTTGATTCCTTAGTAGCTGAAAGAAATTATGCTGAAGAAGTAAGACTGGTGTGTTCATTGTTACAGAGCTTAAAAAAAGAGATATTGAATTATTTAATTTAGAAGCAACAACCAGCAAATCCATGCCATGCCATCCGCAATCAATGTGCACCCTTACAGTTACACAGATGGCTGCCTCTGGGAAAGTTCCAGGCTAGTGGTTTGCAAACTTAGCCACATACTCTAATCACCTGAAATCTTTAAAAGGATTCTCAGTGACTAGACTTTACCTCACACCACCTAAATGGACAGATTATTGTTTTTAAAAGTTCCCAGAAGACTTCAGTGTGAAGCCAAGTTTACCAAACTATGATATTGGATAACCCTGTAAATCGCATGCCAAGTAGCAAAAGAAATGGCTGCACCTGTTGGGTAACTGAGGTAATGACTCGGGGACTGTGATAGGACTATGAAAAGTCCATCTGTTTGAGAGGACAGTTAATCAAGGGACAGGCTTCAAAGCTGTCTTCCACGTTCTCTGACATATGGGTTGCCCCAAGTGTTTGATGGTCTTGGTTTGTTGGTGGCTGTTTATGGCCATCTGCTACCAGTGACATGCTACTAGGCAGCTTCCTTTTATATTTGTATCTTTACTAAATGAACTCATTTCTCAAACACTTAAAAATACAGCTTTTATGATTTGAGTTGGTTCTCTCAGATTCATATGTTAAAGATCTTATGCCCCAGTACCTCAGAATGTAATGTTATTTATAGGTGATACTTAAGATGAGGTCATCTTGGAATAGGGTGAGTCCTCAACCAAGTATGATTAGTCCCATCTTTGAAGGAAAAATCTGGACAGATGGCAATGCACACAAAAAGAAGGCATCTGAAGATGTGTGCAGGCATTTAGAGTAACGCTCCTAGCAGTTATTACATGTCCCAAACATGTCCAGCATACCACCCGAAGCCAGGCAAGAAACAAGGAATGGATTGTTTCTCCAGATCTTCCCTCAGAAGAAACCAGCCCTGCCAATGATCCTTGGATGTTGAACCTCCAACATCCATACCTGTGAGACAACAAATATGCAATTGAGAGCTGTCATTTTGTGAGCCTATGTTACAGCTCATTATAGGAAGCTCCTACAGCACCCCATCCCAGTAAAACTCATGCTGCACACTGGTTAGAGCAAAGGAAGTCTGAGATGTGGGGAAACAGCACCCTGAACCACTCAGAACCTCAGTTCCAATTGCTCAAATAGTTGTTCCTGGCCACTCTTGCTCCCTGTATGCAGCGTCAGAGCCATTGAAATGACCCAAGAAAGACTTTTCCTGTCTGTATACAACTTATAAGTTTTTTATGGGGCCTTAACTCATCTGCACTGCCATTTTGAAATCATAAATAATTTTAAAAGATGTCTTAACATTATTTCTAACAAAGTATTTTTTTTCCTTTTGCACTGGGTTCCACAAATTGTGTCACTAGATGTATAGCTTGGTCTCCTTATGGGATTTATAACAGTGGGAGAAGGGTCTATCTTTGACTCTTTTGCTTGCTTTTTAGATCTTATTCCTCATACTGGGTTGCCTTGCTCAGTCTTAATACAAGGGGAAGTGCTTAGTCTTAGTGCAACATGATATACCTTGTTTTGTTGATATCCAAGGGAGGCCTGCCCTTTCCTGAATAGAAATGGAGGAGAAGAACATGAGGTTAGAGTTAGGGTTAGGGTTAGGGTTAGGGTTAGGGTTAGGGTTAGGGTTAGTGTTAGGGTTAGGGTTAGGATTAGGGTTAGGGTTAGAGCAAAGGGGAGGTAGGTAACTGGGAGGAGAAGAGGGAGGAGAAACTGTGGTTGGAGTGTAAAATAAATAAATTAATTTTAAAAATTGTGTCACTAGACCTGCTTACCAACTTATCCTCTTTGTTAGATTCAGGTTACTTTCTTGAAGGATTTTTCATACATTCATTCTACAAGTTCTGTTCCTTTAGAGAACACTGTCTAGTACAATAAAGAAATGATGTAGAAGGACACCTGTCACATGCAGTTCAGCTCTGAGCCTGTGGTGACCAACTGTGACTAAGAGTCATAGGGTTGCACACAGCTTAGGACTTCTCAAGGTGGCTGAATGCTATGCTGTTTTATTCATATGATGATGCTATTTACAAAGCCTTCTGAAACTGACATAGGTTTAGATGTTCCTTAGAATAATGGGACAAGTTGAGGAATTGTCCCCATATCTTCACATCCTCCATGAATTATATACCCATGCCCTTTCTGTGAGCAGCTAAACTGTGTCCCACTGGGCCAAAGTGATCTTCTGTGAACTATCTGTGTTGACTTAGTTATGTGACTTGCCATGACCAATATAACTTACACAGAACTATTAATGTGTCACTCCCCAGCTGAAACCTTGAGGAACATTGATAGTTAGGGTTATCGACTTAACAATCTATAATCACCCACAAGACAGGTTTTGGGCCTGCTTTTGGAAGGTTATCTTGATTGTGTTAATTGATATGCGCACTGTGAGTAATGTCATTCTCTGCATGGACCCTGGACTATTTAAGTAGACAGGGGCAGGGCAACCAGCATTTACTGCTTCCTGATTGTGGATTCTGTGTGATCAGATGCTTAAACTCCTGCCTCAAGGCCTCCATATCATGAAGTACCTTGAACTGTGATCCTGTCCTGCCTAGTTTTATTCAATGCAACAAAGCTAGAGTCATCTGAAAGGAGGGAACCTCAGTTGAGAAAATGTCTCCAGCAGATTCACTTGTAGAACATCTTCTAAATCAGTGATTGATGGAGGAGGGCCCAGCCCATCGAGGATGGTGCCATATTTGGACTGCTGGTCATGGATTCTACAAGAAAGCAGGCTGATCTAACCATGGGGAGCAAGACAGTAAGCAACACCCCTCCACAGCCTCTGCATCAGCTCCTACCTCAAGGCTCCTACCCTGTGTGAGTTCCTGTCTTGACGTCCTTCAGTGAGGAAATGTAAATCAACTAAATCCTTTCTTCTCCAAGTTACTTCCAGTCATGGTGTTTTGTCCACAATAGAAACCTTAACTAAGAGAGGCCACAATGACTCCATTGTCCTAAGATACTTTTATCAGTGTGTTTTATCACCGCAACAGGAAGAGGAACTAAGATAGCATTATTCTTGCCTTACTACATGTCTGCCCTTCTTCATGAGATAGTCCCCATGTAGAAGCTGGCCCAAAGACAACCATAAGATACATGAGATAGTCCCAGTGTCTAGTCTGGATTCAAAATGAATCCCAAGTCTAGAAAGTCTTTGCCTCTCCATAAACACATAACACTTCAGAGTCCAACACATTTGCCCATTTTCATTCTGAGCATATTTCTTCTGGCTGGATCTAGAAGCCACACTGCTCTTTCACCAGTTTCACTTCTGGGGTGACATTTAAATGGTTTATATTTTCTTAAGTTACAGAAAAATATATCATGGATTCACAGGCCCACCTGCTGCCATGCAGCTCAGGCAGGTGAAAGGCATCCACTGGTCAGCCTGAATCCTCACAGTCTGGGCTGACTGAAGGCATTCACAGGCCCACCGGGTGGCACAAGGCACTATTATGATGAGCAGACATGTTGTGGAGAAATGGGAGAGAAAAGAGAAACAGAACGACTCACGTGCTGTGGACAGAGGTGGGACTCAAGAAATGAAGGTGGTGCAGGATTGGCTGATGCTACCTGAGGCCAGGGTGACATCTGGACCCTGGACCGATGCCAGGGTCTCTGTTGACATTCATGACCCATATTGCCACCGAAGGCCACAAGGATGCCTGGGGATCTGAGCTGCCACCATTGGTCATTTTGGTGTCCAAGGACCATTCTAATCTAAATGGCCTGTACTGTCACTGGGAAAGGATTACATCCAGGCCTGAGCTGCTGCCCAAGGCCATATCTAGGTCTGTGGTCCTGCTGTGACTGGGGTCTATGATGATGTTCCTGGCCCATGTTACCATAGCGGTTCATAGGAACTATGCATATTGAAATTAGAGGACCATGCTGAGCCAACCCGGCCCTTCACTGGGCCTGGGATAGCTGGACACTGCATCAGGAGAGCTGGCCCCACCCCTCATGGAACAGCTGGCCACCACACTCAAGAGAGATGGACCCACCCCTCACCATGGGCATGGGAGAGCTGGCACAGATGGCATGGGTCCTGGAGAGCTGACCTTACACCTCACCTGGGGGGGGGCAGTACCAACAGCACAGACTGACAGCCCAGGTACTACCCAGACCCACAGCTTTGGCCCACACTAACTTCTACCCCATCTGTGACCTGATGGAGGGTAAAGGAACAGGTCCTGCAGAATAATAGCTATAGGATCTCCGTGACTGGGGCAATGGCAGGATATCTGAAAGGAGTTTCAGTGAGGTCCAGTGATTATGGTGTGCTAGAGGCCTTGAACAGGACTAATGACTCACTGCAATGAACATTTGCAGGTGGGACTGATTGGACGAAAGGGATAATGTATCACACACCACAGCTCCTGATGCCACTAGGATGAAGAGATATTGGAGAGGAAGGTGGGTTTTTTGTTTACTTTGTTTTGTTTTTAATTAATTTTGTTAGGAGGGATGCTGCAGTGGTGAGGCAGATATGGAAGGATGAGGAGGTAAGTAGGACTGGGGTGCATGAAGTGAACCATACACACACACATACACATACACACACACACCACATATGCACACGTACACACACAACATACACAAATACACCACACACACACACACATACACATTCCACATACACATACATACACCACATACACACACACATACACACATATAAATACACACACACCACATACACACACATACACATACACACATAACACACACACCACATACACACACATACACACACAAATACACCAAACACATACCACATACACACACATACACACCACACACACCGCGCATACACACACCACACTATACTTACACATACCACACTACACATACACACACCACACACACACACACTACACTTACACACACCACGCTACACATGCACACACATCACACATACACACACCCCAACACACATATGCACACACCACAAACACACACCCCAACACACATACACACACGCACACACACCAACACACATATGCACACACACATACACACATTTTGATTTTGATTTTGAATGAGTAGCACCAAAGGAAGAAAGTCTTTGCTATGCAAAATTATCAGAGGAAGAACTGACTGGCAGGTGTTACTTCCTTTGGTGGGCTTGCATGGTTTTCCCTGGTCTGGCTCCTCATTTTCCCACCGTTACCATCTTGCCTCTCCCTCCATCACTCAAATCTTTCAGTCTGAAAAGGTTTCATATCTGATGTCTTATTTCTAAGGCATTCTCACATTCTCTCCTTCCATTTCCCCTATCCAAGCAGCTCCTCACTTAGTGCTAATTCCACCAGGTCTCCTTTAAAGATTCCAGGAAACACCATCCTTCTGAGGGTGTTAATCACTAGTGTGTTTGAGAAATATATGGAGATGCTTATTTGTATTTCATTTATAACATTGTAGAATGATCAGAACATATGAGACAGTAACCCTTTGCCTTCCACACTGACTTCCCTGCCTCCACAGAAAGTAAACCCAAGGAGTCTGTAAAGCTCTTCATTTGTTGTTGTCATCATAACGAAAGGCAAAAACTGTGTTTTCTGCATCTTCTGAGGTCATAAGCCATTACGCTGTCATGAAAGCAGATGATTGCTTCAAGGCCCACATGTGGGAAATCCCTCCAAGTGAGGATGGACAAGGCTCCATGAGCCTCCTGATGACCACTTTAACGGGGCAGGGCCTCAGCCTCTGACTCCCAACCACCTACATTTATTCTTAGGTTTCATGAAAACAGCAACTCTGGTAGTTTCAGAAACCACTCAGGCTTGGAAAGTGGGGTACTTGACAGAAAACATGACATATCATGAAGGTCAGAGGTGACTGTTTTTATATTCTGTTGCTCTGTGACAAACTGCCATAATCTAATGGCTTAAAATGAAACAAGTGTGTTATCCTATGGTTACTATGGTCAGGAGTCTAGACTAAGCTTATTTTCAGCTCAAAGTCTTGCAAATCTAGAATTGAGTCCCTTGGAAATGTCCCTAACTAGGAGGGTGACTCCTAATAGTATCTGAGAATTACTAGTCACCCAGATGTGCCAAGGGCTAAGAATGGGCCTTATCTCAATGTACAGAAAATGTATTTCTTACTCATTGTGTCCACATATGGAGGGTGTAATTCAAAACTAGCTACATTTTAATTTTTTCATTCCTAGTACACTATACTATGAAGTCTTGGAAGCGGGGGTATTTCTTTCTTCCACACTCCGTTTATTTTCAGATCTTTCCCTAGAGCATCTAGAGAGGGATTCAATAAATATTTGCCAAATGAGTGAATGAGTTTTGTATATTCAACACATGCTTGCTAAACTAAATGGAACCAGTTATAATAAACATTATGTAATATATGAAGAGTGAGTATCTCTGTGACTGTTGAGTAAAGACAAACTCAATAGTAACAAACCAATAGTAACAGCACAGTTAGAACTTTTTCAGTCTATCCAGAGGAAACACTCCTTTCTCTTTGAAATATGGCCCTGAAATTTAAACTCTGATACATTCTAAGTCATGTGACTCACCCCTTTCATCTTCTAGGATCAAGAGGGTTGGGGAACCAAAGACAAATCAGAACCCTGCGTTAAATGGTGAAATCCCAGATGCTGACATTTCACACATTGCAGTACACAAATTTTCTGAAGGATGGGTCTTGCTATGTAACCCAGGTTGGCCTGAAATGTTTATTTGTTGCTTTTCTTATTGCTGTGACCAAATGCCTGGAAGAAACAACTGATGGACGAAAAGGGTTACTTTCGCTCACAGTTTGAGAGAGCACAGTCCATCATGATGGGGAAGGCATGGCAGAGTTCACAGTAGTAGAAAGTGGGCCTGAGACTTCTCCGGGAGTTGTTATGACTCTGAAGACCAGAAGATAATGTTATAGACCTTAAATGAGGCCCTCTGTAGCTGTTTATTCTGGCCTTTGAGCCCTGTATGTGTCTACTCGACACCATGCCCCAAAGGTTCCAAAACTCCTTACAGTGTCACCAGCCAGAGACCAGTTTAAACACATGAGTTTGTAGGAGCATTTTATGTTCAAACCATTACAGTATCCCAGACTTGCCTGGGGCTTGCTATATAGCACAGGATGGTCATGAATTATTGATCCACTTTCTTTGGGCTCCCAAATGCTCCCAAATGAAGTATATACCACCATACCCAACTCTAAGGTTTTATTTTTTAAGATTCAATTTTGTGTGTGTGTGTGTGTGTGTGTGTGTGTGTGTGTGTGTGTGTGTGTGTGTATGTGTGGGTGCCCACAGAGGTCAGATGAGTGCATGAAGTACCCTGGAGCTGGTGACACCGGCAGTTGTGAGCCACCTGACCTGGGTGCTGAGAACTAAACTCTATCCCTCTGCAAGAGTGCTCCTGACCACTGAATCATCTCTCCTGCTTCTCAAAGTAGACTTTTTAAATATTAAATTGTTCATAAAATTCTTTAGTTTTCAGGGATTAAGATTTCTATGCCTGAAAATGATGAATTAGTTCCACAACCCCACTCACCAAGAGACCAGAGTGACATATTTCCAATCAATACTTTTACTAACATGCTTTAAATTTGCAGGCATCTTTGCCCTAAAACTGGCACTCTATATTTAGTCAACATCGTGAGAGACATCTGCCCAATGAGGCAATAGCACTCCTCATAACTGATACGTCATCTGTTTATTTTGGTAGCTGAGCACCTTCTGGAACAACAAACAGACACCTTTGGAAACAGAGATGGAATTTTGGGTATCTTAACTGATATGGGTTGTCTAAAATTAAAGGCATTGCTAATTAACTGGAACACAGAATTAGAACCTACAGTTTGGGAAATATGTGAGAAAAAGAGTGTTTGTCAGAACTTCAGCACAGGGGAACTAGGCTGACTGCTTCAAGGACACTAAATTGATTTTAAGAATTATATAATGTTGTTAAATCTCATTAAACAACAGCCTGCTAGGCTGTGCCTGAATTAGACAGTTGTTTGCTCAAAAAGCTGGCATTTAATTCTCCTTCACTGTTAAAATTATGAATAAAACTAGTTATTTAAAAAAAATCTACCTGTGGGAAGAGATACTGAAATTGACCAAGGCTTCGTTTATTGTTAACTAGCCAATTACACTTCTTAAGTAAGCACACCTGAGAAGCCAGTGTATTCTCCCTGCCTGAGTCTGACCTATCCTGCCACTTGGATTTCCCTTCTCTGTGGCCACCCTAAGCACACTGAGTCAGGAATACCTACACATGACCACATGAGCTATTTTTTTAGTTCTCAGTTGCACTTGTATTTAGTATCCTTGAATAGACCCAGAATGGGCTGCTGGACACTTTGAAAACTACTTGCAGAGTTGTACTATATGTAATGGGTCCAGTAACCAGTGTTCTTCCAGGAAAGCCATTTACACAAGGGAAAAGAGTAAGATGTATCTTCAGACATGCTTTTCATCTGAGATCCTCTGTTAGCACAGAGGATAACTCCAATGAAGGCTCTCTGGATGGATAGAAGGACAGTACTCCTGCCTCCTTTACTGAGATGATAAACACCATGAATGTTACTAAAGAGTGGAATCACAGGTAAGAATGGTACTTAGAAAGCAAACTGTGACCATTGAGGCCACTGTGTAGTCACAGAGTATGTAGCCTCTCTTCCTCAGCAACCTGGTGATGTCAGATGGGATGATGGTGTGGACTGGCTAATCTCTGTGTATTAGAAGCCCACCATAATTATGACTTACACGTGAAGATGAAGCCAAGCCAAATGGTGCAGACTAAGATGGCTGCTCTGATCCAAGAGGTTGTTTGGGGAACAGGAGTCCTTCTGGGTTGCACTGCCATGCCTAAGCTATTGTTCATGTTGACACTGGCAAAAATGGCTTGATGATACATGCCAATTCCAAACATCAGGATGGGAAAAAAGGGGGGGTCAAGAGTATAGGGACAGAACATTGCTGCTCACACTCACTGATGTGAAACTTAGAAATATGGCATCCTATAAATTCAGAGAGATGAGATCAGGTAGACTTTACTCTGGTGGGGGATGGGGGAGTAGAGGGGTGGGAGGTGGCACAAGCCCGGTAGCCACCACCAGGAAGAAGGAGACATCTCCTATGGGGACACAGCTGCCAGTGTCACAGCATCCAAGCTTCTTAGCATATGATTGTCAGTAAGCTGTCACTGTTGTTCTATGACAGGTCCATCAAATGCTGAAGACATTTTGAAAGGTAGAAGCCAGTATATTCTCCCTGCCTGAGTCTGATCTAGTCTGCCACTTGGATTTCCTTTCTCCATAGCCACCCTGAACAAACCAAGGACTGCTTTTCTGGTATGAGTCAGGAATACCTAAACATGCACCACATGAGCTATTTTCGGAGTTCTCAGTTGCAATATGCCTTCTAACAGAGGAGCAATGTCCACCCCAGAAAACCATGACAGACAGTTGTAGATACTGAAATAGAACTCCTTTCCTTCCTTTCTCCCTCTCTCACACATATATGTTTTAATTTAATTATAATAAAAATAAAACTATGCTTTTGGAACATAGTCATTGGGACATGTATTTGCAGTGATTTTGGCTTTTCAACACATTATTTACAAAGAGGAGCCTTATCCTGGGTTAAGAAAACCAAAGGAAAATTGCCAATCTGAAATGACAAATATGTCAACCAATTTCTTTACATGTTCTGTGTTTTAACACTGAACTTGCATACTCCAACATACCTCTAAGTTCAAGAAAATCCAAGATGGTTGGCCATCTGAACATCGGAAACAGCTTTGTAGATCCAGACATCTCTCCCATGGGCTGGGTTCAGGTAACTTCCTCAGTACTGCATTCAGCCAGTCTGGTGTAGTCTCACAGCCACTGTTATCACCAGAAGAAAGAACATGGCAATTGGCCAACCTGACTTACCCAATCACCTCTCAGTGCAGACTGTGGGTTTGGCGCCACCTGAGTTTTAAGGGGATCACAAGGATTAGGTGTCAGCAAAAGGGAGCAGGGTTTCAGTGTGCAAAGCAACAGTTGTCCTTGACAAGAGGAGATATCCTCTCTCTCCTCACCCTCTCTTCCTTCCCCTCCCTGCCTTCTTTCTCCTTCTCTCTTACATGATAACCATTGTGCCATACTGGAAGGTCATTTGCCCAAGGCAACATTGGGCAGCTCTTAAATTCAAGAAAGAGAGAAACTTAAACTCTAATAGTTGTGATGTGCTTGAGAACACAGATAGATAGACAAGCAGAGAGACAACTAAATAGATGGATGAATTAATGTTATCATAGGGAAATTTGCAAAATATTCTGTGAAATCAATACACCAGGAACTAACTTCTGAAACAGGTCAGGACTTAGGGATGTTCACAAAGGAGACCTTTAATGAGTCTGAACCATGGAGGGTTTGTGATGTTTTTCAGCATGAAGAGTTATATTTAGTAAGCAAATGAGAGAGTTAGGTCGACAAAAACATGTACAGCTTCAAATAATTCCAGCATTTTTTCTTCACTTAGTTAACAGGAGGATATCAAACCCATGCTATCTGTGTTGTGATCCCATATTCCAAAACCCCATTACAAAAGCAGCAGGAGCTATTAAGCCACAACTTTCCAACCCCAGAAATTACTACCTTGACCTAATGTTTACAATTTGTTATTGGTGTGCAGCCCAGCGGATGAGTAAGTCTCTGCATACAGAGAAAAGTGGATTTGAAAACAGGATGGAGTAGGAGTTCACAAATGCCTACACAGCATTCCTGGAAGCAAGGGCTTTGAGTCCCCAGGGACATTATTAACCTCATTTTAGACTCAAGAATACAGAGCTCAGAGAGGTAAAGTGACTAGCTATGTCACATGTCTTTGGGGTGGGGGTTGCAAAATTAAGAGTCACAGGCTCAAAGTATATATTTCCTTACTGCAAAGTTCTTTCCATTGTTCTCTCTGATTTATTTTGAGAAGAAAACCCAATGAAACCCACAGAAGTGTCTAAGCTGGAAAGACAGGATGGCAGGAAGAGGGTGCTGTTATAGTTCTCATCAGCAGCTAGTGGCAACATACAGTAGGATCTCTGCTGTGCAAAATCATTTAGCATCGTCTGAACCAAACACATGCATTCACTGTGCACTATGCCATTCCACTGCCAACAACCATGTGTTCAAACCTCCACTAAGAAAAGCATACTAGAATGATTGAGGCATGAACCACACTACTCTAAAATTAGAAATTATTCAACTTTCCCTAAACTAAAATAATATAGTCATATAACAGGGTATTAGACATTTAACAACATGGTTGACTCATGCAAATATATGCTGAGAAAAAGAAGCCAAACACTAATGACCAAGACCTTGCCTAGCATTCATGATGCTCTCAGTTCAAAACTGGTATATGTCTGCAATCCCAGCACTCACAGGGGCAGGGAGGGAAAAGGAGCAAAAGGCAGAAGTTTGAGGCTATCCTCTTTTACATTACAAACACAAGGCCATCCTGGGAAACATGGGAGTATCTATTTAAAAAGTATGCTGATACTTTTTATGTACATAAAGTTTTAAAATAGGCAAAAATGATGTTAGAAGAGTGGTGGACCTAGCGAAGTGTGTGGGTCTAAAAGCAGACATGAGCTGGGACTTCTGAAGTAAGGATGATAACTGCCCTCTGGGGCTGATTATATGACTACAAATCCCTTTGTGAAGATTCATTGAGCAGTATTCTTAGGGCCTAGGCACATTCTGAAGGTACATTACACATAGATAAGTCAAAAGTAAAATCTAAAATAAGATTCACACAAAATTAAGAAACAGTATTTAAAGCCTAATAGGAAATCTGTGAAAGACAAGGGACTGATACACACCACAGATCTTTCTTTCAGAGCCTGGCATTATGTACTTCATTGGCTTCACAAGTGCATACAGTTGTCACCCCTTCTTAGAAGACCATGACTGGGAAGCTTCATTATGCTGCCCCTCTGACTACACAACAGGTAAGAAGAGAGCACCCCACATTCGATCGATGACCCAATTCTCACCATCATGTGATGGCATCTCTTCACGCTTGACTCATGGGTTTATTCCTGGGAAACTCTCAAAGAGCAAAGATGAATTCCTCAAATTTCCTCTGGGATAAAAACCTATGTGTGTCAAGATCCAATATTACCTGAGATGGAGAAAGTCTGTTTATCAAAAATCAAGGCAGCCACAGAGAAAATCATGAACGTTATAACTTTCTGCCTGCTCAAGGTTCCTTTTGAATAAATCATGCCTTATGTCACTGCAGAGCAACTGCAGAAGATGCATATTGGCTCAGTAATTTTGGGAAGTAGAGGACGGTTAACGTCAGCATAGGATGTGTGATGATGTGTTGAAGGATAGTTGGCACCCAAGGAGAGAAGTGTGTGTGTTTCATGGTTTATGACATATTTTGTCACTTGGAAAAATTGGAAGGTGGAGGCATTCATAAGGATAAGAAGCCAACTTCTTCATATTGTCAATTCTGTGATTCAGGAGGCTTTACGTTTAAAACAATAAAAGCACAAAATAATACTGACACTAAAGGAGAAGTAAATTAGTGCTAATGACTGGCCTGGGTATGGTGGCTTGTACATGGCTGCAGTCCTAGAGCTTAGAAACCAAAGCAGGAGGGCCTAAAGCTTGAAGTCAGCCTGGGCTACGCAGTGAGATGAAATAAAAAGAAATGGACATGATGGATTGGAGTCAGGACATCTCTAGTGAGCAGTAGCCACAAGGCTGGAGGACCAGGGCCTTGGTCCATTTGCTTTCTCTCAGTAGCTGGTGAGTGTCCATCATAGTGTCATTGCTGCTTTTTGCTTGCATGAATGGCACAGTGACAGGCACTTTAAGCTTTGGCCCCGCAACATTGTTCAAAATCTTCTTTAGAGCATTCATACCTCCTGATACTTTATGTAATCCCCATTTGCATTTCCCTGTTAAAACACAACTCCCTTCCCTACTTTAAGGTTTTGGATCTTTCCTTCATTAATATCTTGAGTCAACAGAGGCCCTAGCCTAAAAGGAACAAAATGAGTTCATCACTGTGACTTGTCGGGGTTTGTGTAACTTACTGGGTATGTGGTCCGCCTACATGTGTTTGATGTGATCTTTGAATGGAAAAAAGTGCTCTGCTACATATCAGAAGTCCTAAACCGAAGTGACATGAAATAATGGCCATTTTAACATCACTGGTAGTTTGTGGAATGTGAAAGCATGTGGAAGAATTGTTTTCTGTACTGTCCATGTTCCATGGCATTGGTAATACTTAGATGATTTCCTGGAGTGTGACGGTCTGGTATAAAGACTCGGAAAGGCTTGGTGTAGGCATAAAGGTACCAGATAACAATGATATAACAGCTCCCAACACTGGAGACCATCACTGGGTTTCTGTCTCATGAGTCCAACCGACAAAACCTGCAGACAGCAGGCGAGTGCAAGAGTGAAAGAAGTCAACTGAGAAGCAAGGCCAGTGGTGCTCGTGGCATCAGGCAAAAGCTCCATGGCTGGATTGATGATTGCCAGAGCTTTTGCCTGCCAAAAGTGGTCCCAAGGAGGGGTTGTCATTGTGAGTCTCTTGCTTGGGATTTAAAAAAAATCATAAAGATTTTGCAGAGGGGAGGGTAACTTGACGGTAAGCATTGTGGTTGCACACCTCTGGGGTTTTTGCAGGAATCAGAATATCTCTGTCTGTGGTTGGTAAATGGTTGTCAGCAAGCAGCAAGCTTTCAGGAAGGGAAGCCACCAAGGTCAGGGCCCCATCCTTACTGCCTGATGTGGGTCCACATAACCCCTGACATCACTGAATGACTGGGATGGTTCAAATAAGACTTTCTATCAAAAGCTTTAATACTTCTCACTGTGGCATCTGCTGTAACTGCAACATCCAAGAACTGCTTCCCTTGCATCCCTGGTGCCTGGACTCACATGGCTAGAACACTTGTGACTGATTGGCATTGCTTTCTCTCCTTATAACCATTAGTTTCCTCACAATATGGCAGTCTTCTGTTACTTGGCCAGGAGAGCCAGGTTTGAACCAGTGGAAAGAGCACAATTTCTAGGGGTTCTGGTAAGATGATCTGGGGAACATATGAAAAAGTATAACATAGGCCGGATAAAGTTTTCACCTTCATCATGAAGTCAGAGACCTGCTGATGTAGAGGAAACATGCTTCAGATGCAGAGGTAAGAAAGGGTTGTTTATTTGAGAAAATCTCAGTGTGACCGCAATGGATTCAGTGAAATAACTAAGTGGAAGTCTCACTGGGTTCCCATCAATACTTCAAGGAATGCACACATGGCTCAGAGCCTTTGACCTCAATGGATGTTCATTTCTTCCCAGGACGTGCATCAGGCTGTTCCTAGTCAGTATATTTTAAGAACAGCTGATACCCTGCAGACGACAAAACTAACACTGTGAAATCCTCTCATTCAGACATCGATTCCACTCATGAGATAATGGCATCATGGCTGCTCCAAATGAATCAGCTAAATGCTGCACCAGGGGACAGAGGGAATGCTACTTCTTGCCAAATGCACTAGTA